AGATCAATGCCCACGGCTAAATCTTCAGCATATGGGGGATGAACCTCCATAGCACATTCCCACTCAAAGCTACATGCCGACTAAGTCTAAGCCTACCTCTAAGGCAGTGCCTAAAACAAAGGTAGGCTAATGGCAGAATCTCCCCTATTCAGGGTGGATCGCCAGAATCGTCACCTGTCAAAATATAATGTTACTCCTCTAAATAATAAAAAAATTCAGCAACGCTTTCCGTAGGAAAAGTGTCTTTTCAGAATTTATATCAGCCCAAATATGAAAACAAAAATAGTCTTTGACTTTCCAAAGTCCAATTTTGCCTAACTCCCTGAATTAGCAAAAATTTGGGCAGCACTCCCTTTAGAAAAGAAGACTTTCCAGATTTTTACAAAGTCAAATATAAACCTTAGACAAGTCGAACTTTGAAAAGCCAGAAATTTGACTAACTTCTTGGATTTGCAGAAATTTCGGCAGCGCTTCCCGTTGAGAAAGTAGCTTACCAAAATTTATACAAAGCCAAGTACAACAAAGGATCCCAGAAAATGCGAGAATCGATCTAAGTAATATAAACTTAGCTCAGAAAATGCAAAAATTAAAACTAACTCTTATCGCTCTAGCACGAGGCGAGCCTATAAAGCAACTACCTGTCAACCTAACACTCAAACCAAGTAGTAGCCTCTCTCAGTCTCATGCAGGCCAAACCACAAAGGTAAGTACTCTCACCATCCCCAAGTCAACTTGGCAGACAATAGTTAGTAATCTCTCGATGCTTTATTCCCTTATACCCAGCTTACATAGGGCTTAAAGCCAAGCCGTCCAATTATTATGAAACCTGTCTGACTCAGCCATTCAGTATACACGAATAGGCTGCACAACTACTTCTCTCTTCCTTTTGGGCATATGACAAAGCCGTTCATCTTAGAACAAGGCCCAACCGCCCCGAATTGTTTAATATCCAAATTATATATACCTCTTTGAGCTTGGTGTTCAAGCATTGGGCATAGGACTGAGCCGTTCATCTTAGAACAAGTCCCAGCCTCCCCAGGGTTATCTTCAATTATACTCCTAGTTATACTCTCTTCATTCCATGATAAGTTATAGTCAGGCCGTCCAATTTTATGGAACCCATGCCTGACTAGCATGTTAATAAATAGGATAGTATAAAATATATCCAAAATTTAACCTTTTGGGTTCTGGCATGTGCGAGGCATTGGGCCAGATCGTCCAATCTTATGGAACACATCTGGTCCTTTGCCAGGTTCGTTTCT